ATTATTTGATTACCTTTAGGTACTTGTTTTTTGTATTATAAAGGAATTTTAGCATTTTTTAAAAAAAGATTTTATTGGGAAATTGGAGGGGAACAGCGTTGGGAATAGGGGAAGGGGAACAGACAAGTTGATGTCTTTTTGTTTTTCAGTCTAGTTGTGGAGCACGTTGCTTCACTGGCCCATGTTGGTATTTTCATTGTGCTCTTCCTGGGTGAGGCAGATTGGTCGCTGGTCACTGGACGGCCACTCATGGCAGCTCTTGGCAGGTTATGCTGGCTGCCAGCTGCTCATGGTAGCCCACTGCAGCAGGGGCTGCAGCCTACACCATCGCCGGCGACTCACAGCAGCCCAGCTCCAGGTTGAGCTGTTGTTCACCATCTTAGCTNCAGCAGGGGCTGCAGCCTACACCATCGCCGGCGACTCACAGCAGCCCAGCTCCAGGTTGAGCTGTTGTTCACCATCTTAGCTGTAGAGGGCTCAGCGTCACTGGCCCTCATGTGGGATTTGAACCGGGGCCCTGCTGCTCAGAGCTGGCATCCCAAGCCAACTCTTAACCAATGCACCACTTGGCTGGCCCTTAGCAGTTTTTAACATATGTTACAAGAAATGTTACAAGAAATGTAACAAATATTTACAAAACACAAGAACAGATACAAGGTACAAGAAGTTTTATATACCACTAACAAATTTACAATATGCATCATAGAAAGCCAAGAACTCTTTGTCATTGCAAATTCTTCATAAGTTCAACAATACCAGTTATCATATTTCAAGGTATTGTTTTGCATATGGATATCATTATTGATTTCTAGAGTTACACTTTTAACTCATAAGCATGAATAAAAGAATTAAAAACATTAATATACATACGGAATTAGTACTACCATGTATAATGCACATTCTTATTTTTCTCTCACAAATTTGGGCAAAAAGTATGCATTATACATAGCAAAATACGGAAATTTCTTTGTCTCTTATGACAGATTTTGCATTAAAGTCTATTTTGACTGGTATGATGAGTATAGCTACTTATAAATATAAGCTGTTCTCTTTTGATTTCCATTTGCATGGATGATGATGAGGATGATGATGATTATTATTTTTATTTCTTTACTTTTAGCCTATTTCTATCCTTAAAGCTGAAGTGAGTCTCTCGCAGGCAACGTATAGTTCGGACTTGTTCTTTAATCCATTCAGCCATTGTTGTGTTTTGATTGGAGAGTTTTCTAAGTACTTGACGATTGCCATCTTGTTAATTTTTGTCTGGCTGTTTTATAGTTCCCTTGTTCTTTTTCTTTTTCCTCCATTGCTATCTTCCTTTTTTCATTTATCATTTTCCTTAGCGGTATGCTTTTTTTTTTTAAGTAGTGAAAAAGTAGTTTATTAGAAGAGATAGTACATCTCAAAGAAGTGGAAGTGGGGGCCGGCCAAGTGGCGCGATGGTTAAGAACTGGCTTGGGACACCAGAGGGCCCCGGTTTGGATCCCACATATGAGGGCCAGTGATACTGCCCTCCACAGCTAAGATGCTGAACAACAGCTCAACCTGGAGCTGGGCTGCCATGAGTTGCCGGCGACAGCATAGGCTGCAGCCTCTGTGGCGGTGAGTAGCCATGGGCTACCGTATGTTGCCAGCAGCCAGCGTGAGCGGCCAGCAGCCGCAGTGAACGGCTGTCCAGAAGCCGGCGACTGATCTGCCTCGCCCGGGAAGAGCTCAATGATGGTGCCAACTTGGGCTAGTGAAGCAACGTCCTCCACAACTGGACTGAAGAACAAAACGACAGCAACTTGTCTGTTCCCCTTCTCCCAATTCTCCAGCGCTGTTCCCATCCCCCCAATTCCTCAATACAAATCTTAAAAAAAAAAATTTAAAAAAGTGGAAGTGGGCCTGAGCAGTAGAGAATGGCTCAAGGACCCATTATTAAAAGAAAAATTACATTGCGAAGAGTTTGGAGTGGGCCATTCACAAAGGCGAGACTCAAAATCCATAGCATAATGCTTTGATTCCTTCGCTCTTATCTTTCATTTACTGTTGTTTTTTGTTTTGTGGTTACCATGAAGTTTACTTAAAGCATGTTGGAGTTATAAGTTTATTTTAAGCTGAAACCAACTTAACATCAATTGCATACGAAAAGTACCCTTTTGGTGTTTCACCCCTCTGCATTTTATGTTTTTGATGTAACAATTTGTGTCTTTTTATTTATTTTATTTTATTGTGGAACAGCCATAGTCATTGGTTACACATTGCTTTAATGCTACAATGGCACAGTTGACCCCTCCTCCCCCAAGAAGGGCGCAGCTCACAGTGGCCCACATGGGGGTTGAACTGCCAACCCTGGTGTTATCAGCACCACTCTCCAGCCAACTGAGCTAACTGGTCACCCCCAACAAGTTGTATCTTTTTTCATTGGGTAACCATTAACAAATTATTGTGGCTATAGTTATTTTTACTTGTATATACTCTTTTCTTAATCCTTTATACTAGAGTTAAATGATTAAAACACGACCACATCACAGTATTAGCATATTCTGATTTTGGCTATATACTTACCTTTACAAATCTGCTCCATATTTTCAAATATTCCTCTGTTACTAATTAGTGTCTTTTCATTTCAGCTTGAAGAACTCCCTTTAGCCCTTCTGGTGAGGCAGGTCAAGTGATGATGAACTCCCTCAGCTTTTTTTTTTCTTTACCTAGGAAAGTCTTTATTTCTCCTTCATTTCTGAAGGACAGCTTTGCCAGGTAAAATGTTCTTAGTTGGCATTTTTTTCCCTTCAGTATTTTGAATTTATCATCCATACTCTCCTGGTCTGCAAGGTTTCTGCTGAGAAATTTGCTTATTGCCTTCTGAGGGTTCCTGTATATGCAATGAGTTTCTTTTTTCTTGCTGGTTTTAAAATTCTTCTTGTCTTTGATTTTTGAAAGTTTTGTTATAATATGTCTGAGTGAAGATCTCTTTGGGTTGAATATTGGGGACCTATGAGCTTCATGTATCAGGATGTCCACATCTCTCTCCTGATTTGAGAAGTTTTCAGCCATTATTCCTTTAAATAAGCTTTCTGCCCCTTTCTCTCTTATTTCTCCTTGTGACACTCCCATATTGCAAACATTATTTCTCTTGATGACATCCTATAAATTATGTAGGCTTTGTTCAGTCTTTTTTCTCCTCTGACTGGATGATTTGAAATGACCTGATTGTTAGATCACAGATTTTTCTCCTGCTTCATCAAGTTGGGCATTGATGCTCTCTATTGCATTTTATCATTTTATTCTTTGTATTCGTCAGGTCCACAATTTCTTTTTAAAAACTTTTTAGTTTTTTAAAAGTTTTTGTCTCTGAACTTGATGTGTTCGTGTACGAGGTCTGACTATTAAGTTCGTGAACTTGTTGCAGCGATGTTGCTATTTTTTTTAACTATCAGAGGGATTATTCATTATGTATATGTACGAACTGGACAAACAGTTAACCAAGTTTACTGTTTGGAAGTGCTGAAAAGGCTGTGTGAAAAAGTATTCATAGTTCTTGCATCACAACAATGCAGCAGCTCACACGGCAATGTCTGTGAGGGAGTTTTTAGCCTGTAAACAAATAACTGTATTGAAACACTCTCCCTTCTAATCTGATCTGGCCCCCAGCGATTTCCTTCTTTATACAAAGATAAAAGAGTTATTGAAAGGAAGACATTTTGATGACATTCAGGACATCAAAGGTAATACGACGACAGCTCTGATGGCCATTCCAGGAAAAGAGTTCCAAAATTGCTTTGAAGAGTGGACTAGGTGCTGGAGTTGGTGGATATCTTCCTAAGGGGAGTACTTCAAAAGTGACTATAGTGATATTCAGCAATGAGGTATGTAGCACTTTTTCTAGGATGAGTTCGTGAACTTAATTGTCTGACCTTATATTATTTTCCTGATTTCCCTGAGTTGTCTCTTTGTGGTCTCTTATAGATGGCTGAGTTTCTGTAAACAATTCTTTGCAATTTTTTGACCAGCACTTTGTTGGCTTCGCTTGTTGAAACTTATTCTGCTCCTTTGGTGTTGTCATGTTTTTTGATTTTCTATGTTCCTATAGCCTTTTGTTGATGCCTCCACATTTGATGCATCAGTCACCTCTTATTGCCCTTATGGGCTCGTTTTAGTGTGGAAAAGCCTTCACCTTGGGTTGGTTGCAAGGTCACTAGTCTGCTGGGGTGTGGCAGTTTGGACTGAGGTGGGGGGACAGGCATGTAATCACCACACAGCTCTGTCAGCTGAGGTCAGGGATGGCAAATGTAGGGATTCTGAGTAGCCAAGGCTGCAAGGTAAACTCACAGGTACCTGATTGTGTGGAAGCTGGGTAGACTGTGGTCTTAAGACTCTGTTTCCATCATACCAGGAATGTTTCCCATGTAAATAGTGTTTTGTTGTCATTTCCAGTGTCACATTCTGTGTCAACTTTTCCTTCCTCATTGTTGCTTCCTTGCTGACTGGTTAATTCTACTTCTTTGTCATTTTGACTGTGATTTCTTCCCCATGAAGAATCTCCACCTCTCTGGATTTCATATCTCACCCATTTCTCTCACCTTTCCTCTATTGATTTGCAACATTGGTCCACATGTGCTCTGAGATAAATATGCATCCTTAAATTGTCCTTGAATAGCAGCAACTCTTTTGTAATTGGTTTTTCCCGGGTTTCGACATGTGCTTGTAAATAGCCTGACATCATCAGCAGAAAAGATCCTGCTGGAATCCTTTGGCAGAGGAACAAGTTTTAGAATATGACTGTCTTCTTTGTGTCATACCCTATCCTTGTGTCCTTTCCTTGGTGACGTCTCCAACATTCTTTAGCCTTAGAGGTGCAGTAATGCCAGGTAGCCATTTCCTCAACCAGATTTCAATTCCTTTTATTAAAAAGCATGCCATAGACTTATCACTAACTGTGACAAATGCATATTTGTGATGGGGTTGCCCCATCTCTATAGTCCACACATACTTCACCAGCATTTATTTACATTCAGGTTGCTGCTGTGGAGCAGAGGATGTAGAGGCACCTTTTGAACACAGCGTTTCTGTCAGCGTGTCCCAGCCCAGCACCTCCAAGGCAGCACTGTCATCCCAGAATACCCACTTCTGTGATAGTTGTGGTACAGTCTTGAAATACATGTTTCAGTTGACTGAGCACCAAGGGACACCACACATCCAGAAAGTATTCCGGTGTGTGGTATGTATGAAACAATTCTATTTTAGTACAAACCTCCAAAAACACCAAAAGCAGCACCTGGGAGAGAAATCCTTTAGAAGCAGTGTGGACAGGACCTTGTTAGTGAAGAACTGTAAATTCTGTGTTTCAGAGAAGCCCTTTACCTGTGATGAAATTGGGAAGGACTTCCCGGCCACCTCAGAACATCTCCAGCAACAGACCACTCACGCCAGGGAGGAACCAAACAAAATCACCCAGTGCTGGGCAACTATACAAAACAGGAAAAGTCATTTCACCTGGGGAGACTGTAAGAAAACCTTTAGTCCCAGACACACAGATATTCAGGACCAGGATGTCCACACTGAAAGACAACTTTTGTGTGCCATGAATGTGGGAAAACATTCAGGTACAAATTTTCATTTGTAGATCACCAGAGAGTCCACACTGGTGAAAGGCTTCATGCATGCGGCAAGTGTGGCAAATCTTTTAGGCAAACCTCAACCCTCAATCAGAAACGAAGAATTCATACTGGGGCACAGCAGTACCAAGTGTAGCAAATGTGGCAAATTCTTTAACCAAAAATTTGTCCTCGTTTATCCCTGGAAAAGTCACACTGGAGAAAATTGTGACTTGTGTCATGAATGTGTGCACTCTTTTAGCCGTAGAACCATCCTTATTCAACAATGGACAGTTCACACTGGAGAAAGGCATTACGAGTGCACTCAATGTGGGAAATCCTTTAGATGAAAATTTTACCTCATTTTACATTGGAGAGTTCACACTAGAGAAAGACCTCATGAATGCAGTGAATGTGGGAAATCTTTTACTAGTAGTTCAGTACTTTTTTTTACACCAGAGAGTACATACAGGAGAAAGGCCCTTTGAGTGCAGTAAATGTAGGAAATCTTTTACCAGTAGCTCAATACTTATTCTACACCAGAGAATACACACAGGAAAAAGGCCGTATGAGTGCAGTGAATGTTGGAAATCCTTTAGCCATCAATATTACCTCAGTAAACACCAGAGAGTTCACAGTGGAAAAAGTCTTATGAGTGTAGTAAATGTGGGAAATCTTTTATGTCTGACCCTGGCCTCCATTATCATCTGAGAGTTCACACTGGGAAAAGGCCTTATAACTGCAGTGAGTGTGGGGAATCCTTTATCCAAAAATATCACCTTCTACACCAGAGAGTTCACACTGGAGAAATGCCTTATCAGTGCAGTGAATGTGGGAAATCTTTTTCAGCTGGTTCCAACCTCAGTAATCATCAAAGAGTTCACACAGGAGAAAGACCTTATGAATGCAGTGAATGTGGAAAATCCTTCATCTAAAGACATCACCTTCTTACACACCAGAGAGTTCACACAGGAGAAAGGCCTTATCAGTGCAGTGAATGTGGGAGATCTTTTGCATCTGGTTTCAACCTCAGAAATCATCAGAGAGTTCATACAGGAGAAAGGCCTTATGAGTGCAGTGAATTTGGGATGTCTTTTACCACTAGGAGGAAACTTCGTTATCATTAGGGAGTTCACACTGGAGAAGGTCCTTATGAGTGCAGTGAATGTGGGAAGTATTTTACCTCAAGTTATGCCCTCCGTGATCATCAGAGAGTTCATACTGGTAAAAGGCCTTATGAATGTACTGAATGTGGGCAGTCTAGAGCAAATTCTTACCTCATTGAACACTGGAGAGTTCACACTGGAGTAAAGCCTTATCAATGTAGTGAATGTGGGAAATCTTTTTCTTCTGGCTCTGGCCTCCATTATCATCAGAGTGTTCACTCTGGGTTAAGGCCTTATGAGTGTAATGAATGTGGGAAATCTTTTCCAAAGATCTCTGCACTCACTCGACATCAGAGAACTCACACAGGAGAAAGGCCTTATGTGTGCAGTGAATGTGGGAAATCCTTTATCCAAAGACATCACCTTCTTGTACATCAGCGAGTTCACACAAGATAGAGGCCTTATGATTATAGTGAATGTGCGAAATCCTTTAGGGATAGTTCCCAGTTCAATTAACATGGGAGAGTTCACATTGGAGAAAGGCATTTTTAGTGTAGCTAACGTGGGAAATCCTTTAGCCATAAATCTGATCTTTATCAACACCAGATACTTCATACTGGAAAAAGGTCTTACAAGTTTAGTGAATGTAGGCAATCCTTTACTTGTATCTCTAGACTTCATTATTACCTGAGCATTCACACTGATTGAAGGCCTTATGGTATAGCAAATATGAAAAAACTTTTACCCATAGCTCGTCACTGTTCCAACAGGAGAAAGGGCTTATGAGTGCAGGGAAATAGGAAATCCACCTTATTATACAATGTAGAATTTTCAGTGTAGAAAGACCTTAGATGTGCAATGCAATGTGCTATTTTCTTGTTCAGTGTGAGGGTCCTGGAAGAAACCATAAGAAGCCATAGGAATTTGATCTCATACATCCAGTTGTCCACAGATGGGAGATTACCCATAAGTTTTAGTGAGGTGGAAAGCATGTGTGGCTATGTTGCACTTTCTAACTTGCCCAGGGATCTTTCAAGATTTATGTCACTGACATTTTCTGTTGTCAGAGACACTTTATACCACCTGGCAGGTCCCCACAGTTTGCATCTGTCACCACTCCAATGTGCTCAGGGAAGCTGACCTTTCTTTACTCATGTATTGGAGGAAATTAGGACTAGTCTGAGTCCTTTGGAGTTCACATTCCCTTCTCTTTGATTAGCTATGGCAGGAAACTGACACACTCTTGGCAGAGAGAATAGCATATGAGTTTGGCTGGCAACGTGGAGAGGACCTTTTTCAGGGACATATTCTCACATGAATTTTTTCAGCTTCCAAGTCACCAACTGAAACTCTTTGCTGCACATTGTTTTTGTTGGTACAATACAAAAACCTTATTGTTTAAGTCCTCTTTCTGTTTACAGTGTGGGGTGTTTTATTTTGGTTCCACAAGTGTGATGGGTGAACAATTTTTATTGGGATCTCCAGATTTGTGTCCTCCATGGGGGAATACTATGATGGCAGAAAATAGCTCACCAGTTTTTGCCAAATTTGCATTCCTGCCAGTGACCTAGGAAAGACTGCAGAGCTTTCTGATCCTCATTGGAAGCCTGCATGCTATGAGTTTTAGGAGACTGAGGAGGGGTTAGAGTTGACATTCTCAGGGGCTTCTTGGAGCAGCATGAATTTTTTCCCTTGTTCACAGGGGATATCTCTGGGGATGTTGAAGGGAATCCCTTCCTCAGGTTCTGCAAAAAACTATGTGCCCTGGTGTTCACAATTCCGTGGGTGATGATCACTGGTTGTAAGACCATAGGGGTTCAGGGAACCATAACTGCTACAGAAACAGCACTAGATTAATAGGTATTGAAGAACTAACCAATTAAATGGAATGTGCCTCCTCAAAAATGCATCGACAAATGTTTCTGTAACCATGACTATGCAGGATTAGCATGTACACAAATATCAGGACCTTTAAACATGTTTATCTTGTGTAGCTGAAGTCTTTGTTAGAGAAAATTAAAGTTTTGGGGATTCCTGTAGCCTCTCAGTGATGATCACCTCAAGGCCATTGTTGCACAGGTAGGAAAACAAAGATAAAGTAAAGTCTAGGGATGTGGCTTTTGTAACCCATCCAGCATTCCTGCTGACTGAAGTAGAAATGTCCTTTATTATTAGCTAATATTTGCTGCCACTGAGAGAAGACTGGCCCTCAGAGGGCAGTAGGAGAAAGGTGGTGGAGTCAACATAAGGTTGCCAAACCTAATTCCCAAAAAAAGTGGGACGTACAAATTTTTTTTCTTACCTTGAACCATTTTTAAAGCTTTATCAAGGTATAACTTACATGTAATAAGCTGCACATATTTAAAGTGTAGTATGTGATAAGTTTTGACATACATATGAAACTGAAACCATCATAGTCATGGTGATGACTAAATCTGTCACTGTATTTTTTTTTAAAGATTTTTATTTGGGAATTGGAGGATGGGAAGAGCACTGGGGAATTGGGGGAAGGGGAACAGACAAGTTGCTGTCCTTTTGTTCTTCAGTCTAGTTGTGGAGGACGTTGCTTCACTGGCCCAAGTTGGCACCATCATTGCGATCTTCCTGGGCGAGGCAGATCAGTCGCCGGCTTCTGGACGGCCGCTCACAGTGGCTGCTGGCCGCTCACGCTGGCTGCTGGCTACACACGGTAGCCCATGGCCACCCACTGCAGCAGGGGCTGCAGCCTATGCCGTCGCTGGCAACTCACAGCAGCCCAGCTCCAGGTTGAGCTGTTTTTCAGCATCTTAGCTGTAGAGGGCAGTGTCACTGGCCCTCATATGTGGGATCCGAACCGGGGCCCTCTGGCGTCCCAAGCCAGCTCTTAACCAACGCGCCACTTGGCTGGCCCCTGTCACTGTATTTTTGCTTCATGTTTGTCTATAAGCCCACCCTGCCTTTCACAGCCCTCCAAATAACCATTGGTTTATTTTCCCTTAGTATAGATACTTTTGTATTTCCTAGAATTTATATGATGGGAATCATTACATTTACTTTATTTTCTGATTTCCTTTATGTTGCTTGTTATTTTGAGATTCCTCAATATACAAGGTATGACAATTAAGTTCACAAACTTGTTGCAACAATGTTGCTAACCTTTTTTGATACCATAAGGATTATTCATTATGAATGTGTACCAACTGGACAAACAGCCAATTTTACTATTTGGGAGTGCTGAAATGGCTGTGTGAAAAAGTTAAAATACCTGAACTTTACACCAACAATTCATGGCGTTTGCATCACGACAATGCACCAGCTCACACAGCACTGTCTGTGAGGGAGTTTTTAGCCAGTAAACAAATAACTGTATTGGAACACCTTCCCTACTCACCTGACCTGGCTCCCAATGACTTCCCTTCTTTACCTGAAGATAAAGGAAATATTGAAGACATTTTGATGACATTCAGGACATCAAGGGTAATATGACAACAGCTCTGATGGCCATTCCAGAGAAAGTGTTCCAAAATTGTTTTGAAGGGTAGACTGGGTGCTGGTGTCAGTGCATAACTTCCCAAGAGGAGAACTTTGAAGGTGACCATAGTGATATTCAGCAATGAAGTATGTAGCACTTTTTCTAGGATGAGTTTGTGAACTTAATCATCCAACCTCATAAGTAGCTCAGTTTACCTTTCTTTTTTTTACTATCTGGATAATAATAGGTTTGTGCATGCATTTCTTTATGGACATTTGCGCATTTCCTTTTTTTTTTTACATGAGACATTGAACAGAGAATTATTATGAATTATACTAAAAATACTTTGGCGAGTAACCATAAGGAAAAACATAAGGATCATGGAGTGTGAGGGTGTGGAGTGGCTGATGAAGGGGCTCAATCCGGAATGGAGGAGACGGGATGGGCATCAGTGGTCTGGGGTGCTGTACTGGAGGCGGGCTCGGGTGGCGAGACACAAGGTTGGATTAGACGATCTGGAATCCAAATTGGAGTGTCTGTGTCCTGTGGAAATATACAAGCATACCCTCTCCCCTGTGTTAATAATATATCCGGTCCTTTCCAGGTACTGGTTAACAGGTCCAGGACGTAAACCATGATGGTTGACTCCAGCAGTAGGAGACAGAAAATACTGAGGGCATTGATGACAATTTTGTGGACTGAAAATAAGCACAAGATTAGTAGCAAGAGAACCATAATTTTCTAGCAGGATCCAAGTTCTTTGTTATATTACTTTTTGTGCCAAATCTTTTTGGACCAATAAGTCCCAAAGCTGAAATCTATACTCCGCCAAGTTTCCTGAAGGTGATTGTTATACCTGTAGGTAAGTTGGCGGCATATGATCTTGACCTTAACTCCTATTTTTTATCTCTAAGACATTGATTTTTAATTTTTTTGTATCCACCTCTTTTGGATATGAATATGAAATGTAAAAGATTGTTACTTTAAAGCTTATTATAGTATTAGTAATGAGAGACTGTCATGGTGACTGTAGTAGCAATGTTTTTAAGCTATGAATGATATAATTGTTGTGAAGCCTTAAACTATTATTATGAATCCTAACCTATTTTTTTTAATTGCTATGAGGGCTTGTATCCCAGGACCTACAATCGTGGGTCCCTCAATAGTAATTGACAGTGGACTAGAATACTATGTCCTCTACATTTGTTAAAGCTGCCAATTGTGATAAGAACCCTTATATTTAAAATTCTCCTACAACTCTGCAATTTTCAATTAGGATGCTATTAGAGACATACTTACCTGTTGTGAGTATGTCTTTTTTTCCTTTGTCCTGTGTTCCTAGGAGGAAACATAGACATTCCTTCCCCCACATAAGGACAGAATCTAGTCCTTGTTAGATAAAACTGTCCATTATAAAGACATTGTAAAGAATTTAAAACTGTGAAAATTTGAAATTTTAAAATTTGAAAAATGGGTTAGTTAAGGTTGGTATCCTTGGCACCCAAGGAATACCTATAGTCAAACAAAGTTCATGAAACAAAGTTCAAAGTTGACCACCGTATACTTAACATTACCTAATATTAATTAAACTTAACCCTATAATTAAAAATACCTAAAAGCTAGTATACTTGACCTTATTTTCATACTTAACCTTATACCTAAAAATACCTAAGATTAATTATACTTTAACTTGTATTGAAAATTACTTAAAATTAAGATACTGGGTGGCTTTTAAAAAGTTTATCCCATTAATATTTGCTAGGAGTTTGGAACATTTATTAAAAGATTTAAGATGACCCATTTAATTGAAATATTTTGTTACTGAACTTAAAGCAAAGTTGCCAGAGCTCCCATTATTTGGTGATGTCAGGCTGTCTGGTAGGAATATTTTTTATAACCTTGAAAAGCATAGGTTTTTGCAATGTAATATATGATATATTAATAGATCTTAATTTACCTCTTAATGTCTTTGTGATAAGAAGCCAGAAATAGACAAATTTAGACC